TGTCACTGCAGCTAGCTGATTGAGGAAGAAATTCTGAGCGTGTGCAGTTGGTTGCGGTAAGTGAGTGAAGCGGCACAGTTGCCACACGGAAGCATTGACAGATTGGGTGGCAGAGTGACTAGGAGCTTCGGAGTGTGAATGAAGCCAGTGATGCCGCGAAGAAGGAATTGCAGCAGGCGCTGCTGTTGCGTGCTGAAAAAATGTGGTGTCACAATTCTTCGCCTGTTCTTCCTGCATTATGCTTGTTGGTGGAGGACACTGGAGGACACTCTTCAGAGCATGTCGGCTAACGTACCGGAGGAGGGAAATCACTCGTCCATTCACAGCTTGCCGTGTGCTAGACACCAGATCTCCGCTGTAGGATCAGTGTTATGCAGGAAAGGGAGTTGGTAATGTCATGTAATGTCTCTGCATTCAGGAAATGGAAAAGCAGCTGCAAAAGATTGCAGAGCAGCAGGCTGAGCTGAAGGACCAAGCTGCCAGGTAGCGATGCGTTTGAGTGCTTGGTTGAGGTTTGCCGCCTTCAAGCGTGGCTAAGCATTGCTTGAGTGGATGAAGCTCCCATTGTGAGGACTAGGGCACTGCATTGCGCAGCATGATGTTGGCAGGAGGTGCGAAGAGAGAAGGAGGAATCCAACCGCATGCTGCAGGCGGATGCCGGCAAGCAGCAGCACATGAACTAGAATGCGGCGACATTGAGCATTGGATTACCGTGTTTGGGAGGTGATTTCGGTGTTGGATCTGTGGTCTTGCGTTTGTAGCTGAGCGAGGTCAATACCACGTGGAATTCACTGGCCTGAATCCTGAGTCGCCAGGAATGTCAGAAAGCAAGCGAAGCCTTTGAGAAGGAACTGCAGCAGGCAGTTGCCCTGACAGTTGGTGTGCCTGCTATCTAGAAGGTAGGAAAAACAGAAGTGTCGAGAAGGCAGGAGGGCTAGCGCGGGTTCATGACTATAGTAAGGTAAAGAAGCTGTTGTTGTTGTTGTTGTCGTCGTCGTCGTCGTCGTCGTCGTCGTCGTGGTCGTCGTCGTCGTCGTCGTCTTCTTTCGTCTTCAGGCGAGAGACGATCAATTGCAAAGAGGCAAAGACCAACAGTGTGAGCTGAAGGACAGGCTCACAAGCTCATGCTCCGGTGAAGTCTGTTGATCATTGCCTTCCTGGTCCGACTAATCATGCGCCTCAGCCGCCAGGAGTTCCAAGCGGCAAGCGAAGCTTCAAAGAAGGAATTGCGGCAGGCAGCGCTTCAGCATTGTGCAGCTGGGTGCATGTTGCATATTCAGCTAGTCTCTTCTGCAGCTTGAGCTGCCCTACTGAAATCATGCAAGCTGCTCATGAGAGATGTGGTCCTGAGTTCCGCAAACTCGTGAATCATAGCAAAAAACTTCATTACTCCGTAGTCTCGTGAGAACAAGTTCTCGTGCGGTATAATTCAATGCTGTGCTTTTCGTGTATTGCAGTGTGTGACAGGATATCCTGTTACATTCTGCCAGTGTATGCTTGTGTCCGTGTATTCTTGTTCGTTATTTTCCGTGGTCTCTTGCAGTCTTGCGGGCCATGACAGGCGAGCCAGGTCTCTT